AGGGGTGCAGCACCTGGCTGCCTGGGCAGAGGCCCCCTCTGGGGAGGAGCTGGAGCTGCTGATGGATGGTGGTGTCATGGCTGGGCTGGGCTGGCCTTCTGGGCATGGTTACACACCTGGGGCCAGTGGAGCAGGTTCTGGCCCATGCTGCTGGTGCTGCTCAACAAGACAAGGGGTGGGGAACACAGTGGGAAGGGTTCCTGGCTCCTCCAGGGGCCCTGCCCTGCTGATGCCTTGTTGTGGCTGCCAGGCCACAGTGGAGGCTTGGGCAGGCTGCCCTGTTCTGGAGTATACTGCACAGCTCCAGCCAGGGTCCTGGGGCACAGACATGTAGTCCAGCTGCTGCATAAAGGGCATGCACTTGTGGGCAGCCCCTGACTGGCTATTGTGGTTGGTGACATTGACCCACTGTGACCACAGTGGCCACAAAGGCTTTGACCTTTACATAGCACTGGCATGCTGACTGCTTGTTCCCACATTTCCTCACACACCTGAACATTGGAATGCCAGGTGCAACAGTCCAGGTGCTTCCAGGCCTGGGTAGATGCCTGCAGTGCCCAATGTAGGGATACAATGGAGGACAAGCAGGCACGTGGCAATGCTGTGCCAGGTACCAGTGCCAGGGTCCATGCAAGCTGCTATGGCTGCCTGAGAGCCTCTGTTGCATGACCCGATGGCCAGAGGTTGGCTGCGGGTGGCCCAGGGCCCCAATCATCATGGTGTCCTGTGACCAGTGGAGTCCCCCAAGGCTCTGTTCTTGGACCCATATTGTTCAACATCTTCATTAATGATGTGGACATTGGAGTCAGAAGCGGACTGGCCAAGTTTGCCAATGACACCAAACTTTGGGGCAAAGCATCCACACCTGAAGACAGGCGGGTGATCCAGGCTGACCTGGACAGGCTCAGCAAATGGGCGGCCGAGAACCTGACGGTGTTTAACACCGAAAAATGCAAAGTTCTCCACCTTGGGAAGATAAACCTGCAGCATCCTTATAAGCTCGGCAGTGCTACGCTGGCTAGCACTATGGAAGAAAGAGACTTGGGGGTCAACATTGACCACAAGATGAACATGAGCCTGCAATGTGATGCTGCGGCTAGTAAAGTGACCAAAACACTGGCTTGCATCCATAGATGCTTCTCAAGCATGTCCCGGGACGTCATTTTCCCCTTGTACTTGGCCTTGGTGAGGCCGCAGCTGGAGTACTGTGTCCAGTTTTGGGCCCCACAATTCAAAAAGGATGTGGAGAAGTTTGAGAGA